GAGCTACACAAGGACCAAATATATCTGGGCACAGGGTCTTTTCTGAGACTGACATGCAACCAAGGACCATGTATGAATGTAACCTAGAACCTCTGCTCAGATGTAGCCTATGGTAGCTCAGTAACCAATTGGTTTCCCATAGTGAGGGGAACAAGGACTATTTCTAACAGGAACTCAATGACTGGCTCTTTGGCCTCCCCACCCACCAAGGGAGGAGCAGTCCCGTTAGGCCACAGAGGAGAGCTTTGCAGCCAGTCCTGAAGATACCTGATAAAACAGGATCAGATGAATGGGGAGGAGGTTCCCCCCTATCAGTGGACTTGGCAAGGGGCACGGTGGAGATGAGGGAGGGAGGGAGGGACTGGGAGGGAATGAGGGATCGGGACACGGCTGGGATACAGAGTTAATAAAATGTAACTGATAAGAAAAAAATAAAATTAAAAAAAAAAGAAAAACATTCAGCTAAGAAATTGAAATCTTAAAATATATATGTAAAGAAATATTCAATATTGAAAACTCAAAGAATCAAATAAAAAGCACACTGGAGGTAAGATGATTCATCGGGAAATGACAACTGCTGCAGAGCCTGACAACCACAGTTCAATCCAAGACACACACAGCAGGAAAGGCCAAATTCCTGCATGTTATGCTCTGACTGCCACCTGGGGTGTGTGCACGCACGCACACACACACACACACACACACACACACACACACGCACACACACTAAGAGAGAGGAAGGAAGAGAGGGAGTGAGGGAGGGAGTGGAAAAAAAGAATTTAAAAAGTAAAATAATTTTTAAAAAAGAAAACTACAGTGGAAAGCACCACCAATCAAGACAACCAAGCAGAAGAAAGAAGACAGGATTGAGGAAATCATACAATCAAGCATCAATAAGAAAGAAAAAAAATTAGAACTACAACATTATGGAAGAGATCCTAGAGAATTAATATTATCTCTTAAAAGTTTGGTGAAGACCTGGTATTATGCCATTATACTAATACTAAAACTAGATTACAGAGAAACTATAGACCAATACCTCTAAAAAATAATCCTCAATAAACTAGAAAGTCATACCTAACAACACACAAAAGCTACATACTAGGTATACAAGACTGGTTCACTATTCAAAACCCATCAATGGAGCTGGAGAGACGGCTCAATGGATAAAATGCGTGCCATCTAAGCATTAGGACTAGAATCTCGATCTCAACCCACCTAAAAGCCAGGCACAGCAATGTGCATCTAATTCGGGTGCTGGAAGGGTGCCCTGCAGTTCAATGGCCAGCCAGACGAGCTCCAGGCTCATCCAGAGAGTCTACGTCAAAATATAAGGTGGAAATTGACTGAGGAAAACAAATCCAAATGAATGTGCACCAAAGTATACAAACCCACCGCAATGCTCACACAATACACACATAAAAATACTATCAATGTAATCCAATGTATCAAAAGACTAAAGAAGATCATGTGCTGGTTCAGCTAATAAAATATAATGACATAATTCAATACCTATTTATGAATAATATACTCACAAAAAACAGTTATTGAAGTTCTCTACTTAATAGTTATTGAACCCTCTCTAGTCTAAAAAAAATTTAAAAACCAACAACTAGCAAAAACCTAGATATATTACCTCCCAAATTGGGGCAATGCAAAGGTTCCCTCCCTTACATTCTGCTTTAGCACCCTAAGAAATAAGTGTTTAATCACATATCACCTGAACATCAAAGTAAAAGCCCTCAAAAAAAATACCGCAAAAGAAAAAAAGAAAAAGAAATCCTCCTTCTAAAACTAATGAGCAAGTATAGAAAGACTGTAGAGTTCAAAACTTGTATACAAAAGCAAATGTTTTCCTACCCACAACGATAAGAATATGATAAGACAACAGTGGGGTTGAGGAGACAGAACAGTCAATAAAGTGCTGCCCCACAAGCCAGGATCTAAATTTGATCTCTACAACCCAGAAAAGGGGACAGAAAGCATGCCACACATTTGTACCTCCTACACTGCAGAGGCAGAAAAGGGAGGCCTGGTGCTCACAGGGCCAATCAGCCCACAAAAATCAATGAGCTCCAGGTTCAGTGAAATCAGAGAATAATTTGTAGAAGTTGTTTCTCTCCACTATGTGGGTCCTGAGATCAAATTCACATTGTCAAGCTGGGCAGCAAGCACCTTTACCTCTGAGCCATCTCACAGGCCTAGAAAGAATTTTTCAATAATAAAAAAATTAATTTGTTGATACTCATTGAGCACTTAAAACTATATGACAGATTACTAAACTATCTGCAGTAGAATAAGGATTATGTCTACTTTTGCTTTTTTCACCAAACAGAATGGGCTCAATAAATATTTCTTTAATGGATAAATGAATTGTTTTGAATATAGAAGCATGGACTCCTACATCAGGTAGAAAGTTGGACTAAATTAGTTCAACTGGGCAGTATAAATAGGTAGGTAGGTAGGTAGGTAGATAGAGAGATAGAGAGAGAGATAGAGAGATAGAGAGAGAGAGAGAAAGATAGATTTCTAAACTAATTTATTTTTACCATTCTCATTCTATATAATATCTGATTACTTCCTGACCTACATCCCAATAAGCAATCTCAAATGTAATTTACTGACTATTATTACATAGTTTTTTAAACCAAAATGTTAACTTTCTCTTTATTTACAACAATTTATTTTATATCAAGACCAGTTGGAAATTTATTGGAGATCTTTTAAATAATAAGGAGCTCACTGTTTTGTAATATCAAGATGATACTTCCAATTTCAACATACATATCCAAAACAGCATCACATAAAAAAAAAAAAAACAAATCTGTTTTTAAAGGAATTTCATAATGATATCAAGTCTGTCAAAGGGTTTTTAAGTTTCTTTAGGGTATATTTTAAAATTACAAGGTATTATAATCTAAACATAAACATTTTCATTTTCTAGGCATCTTAAGTGCTACAGGCAACCTGGTGTGTGGGTTGTGTATGTGACTGTATACATGAGTGTGTGTGTGTGTGTTCATGAGTGTTTCCCTCCCATTATCTACTATTCTAATCTTAAAGGAACTCAATGATTATTTTGACTACATTGATCAATCTAAAGATACATCTGCCCCACCCCACTACCCATACACCAATAGCAACTCTACCAACTGCACTAGGTCAAAGAGCTTTTAATTTTTACTCTAACTCAACACTATTTTCACTGAATGAGCAATGATGATACCCAAATCCACACCTCGTGTAGAAGCTTAGAACTAAAATTTTTCACATACTACTATAAACAGTATAACAGCATTCAACAAAGTCTAACTTAAAGCTATTTTCTTCCCAAAATTGCTGAACACTGTCAAAAGCATGAAATTGTAATGCACACAATCTAATTTCCTTCTGTACAAAATGTGGTTAACATTCTTGTACTGTTAAATTATGTGTTGCACCTATTCATTTTCAAGTGTCTCTTGAAGCAAAATAGAAATAGAAAAATATATGTGTGTGTCAAAATCATATACACTGTGAGGACTATTAGGCATAAGAACCAGAATGACTACAGAACACTCCTTACAATTGTGGAAGATGAAATAGTCATCGTTTATAAGTAGGTACGAATAATATAGAACATTTGCCAACCAAAATCGTTCTTATTTTGAAGACTGACCCATCCCCCCCAAAAAACTACCATGACCCATTTATTAAACAATACATCCACTGCTTTAGAAGTGCCCAAAACACAACCACTTTGGAAATCAATCTGGCACTTTCTCAGACAATGAGGAATAGTGCTACCTCAAGATCCAGCTATACCACTTTTAGGCATATATCCAAAGATGCTCAAGTATACAACAAGGACATTTGCTCAACCATGTTTGTAACAGCTTTATTTGTAACAGCCAGAAGCTGGAGACAACCCAGATGTCCCTCAGTTGAGGAATGGATACAGAAATTGTGGTACATTTACACAATGGAATACTACTAAACAATTAAAAACAAGGAAATCATGAAATTTGCAGGCAAATGGTAGAAAATAGAAAAGATCATCCTGAGTGAGGTATCCCAGAGGCAGAAAGACACACAGGGTATATACTCATTTATAAGTAGATATCAGACAGATAATATAATCATACTAAAAGCTGTACACCTAAGGAAGCTAATCAAGAAGGAGGTCCCTGGGTAAGATGCTTAATCTTCATTCAAAAAGGCAAACGGGATGGACATCAGAAGAGGGAAGAGGGAGAAAACAGGGAACAGGACAAGAGCCTATCACAGAGGGCCTCTGAAAGATTCTACCCAGCAGGGTATCAAAACATATGCTGAGACTCATAGCCAAACTCTGGACAGAGTGTAGGGAATCTTATGAAAGGGGGAGAAAGACCTGGAGGGAACAGGAGCTCCACAGAATCAAAAAATCTGGGCACAGGGTTCTTTTCTGAGACTGATACTCCAACCAAGGACTATGCATGAAGATAACCTCGAACCCCTGCACAGAAGTAGCCCATGGCAGCTCAGCATCCAAGAGGGGTCCCCAGTAATAGGAACAGAGACTGTCTCTGACATGAACTCATGGCTCTTTGATCACCTCCACCTGAGCAGGGAGCAGCCTTACCAGTCCACAGAGGAAGACAATGAAGCCAGTACTGATGAGACCTGATAGACTATGGTCAGATGGAAGGGGAGGAGAGCCTCCCCTATCATTGGACTCGGGGAGGGGCATAGAAGAAGGAGGGAAAGTGAGATTGGGAGAGAATGGGGGAGGGACTACAACTGGATACAAAGTGAATAAACTATAATTAATAAAAATAAAATTAAAATTAAAAAAAGAATTGCTCAAGCAAATATGTACCAACATATGCAAGTATGTATGTATATATGCATGTATGTATGTATGCAAGCATGTCTCTGACCTTGACAGAGGATCAAATGATCTTGATCATCAGCACTCAGTAGGGAGGAGTCCAAGGTCAGCCTAGGCTACATGAGACCCTGTCTCAATAAAAAATACATCTGCCCCAGAGGCATTGCAGGTGTGGCTGCTATGTCAATGTGCATCAGCAGGTGGCAGAGAGGAGAGACGCTTATGTCTACACTCAGTGCTCTGACCTAGGAACATCTGAATGATTAGGAGCCTAAATTTCCCTGAAAACAGTGAGCCTGAAATGACCACCAGTCTGGTGTTATGCAGGCCCGGATGGTAAACAAGCTGGAGACTAGAAGAACCCTGCCTGGGACCACAACCCTCACATGAACAGACAACCTTCACATGGGGACACTGAGACAGGGGCTAAGAGAGGAAAAAGCCCAAGACAACAACCAGACCAGCGCCATGGGCCCAGACAGGGAGATAGCCTGAGATGACCACCAGTCCAGTGCTGTGCAGACCTGGGGGAGCAGACCATGCCCAAGATGATCCTTGACTGGTGCCATAATGCAGAAGCAGGGCATAGCACTCCTGAGACGACCCCAAACACCCAGAGACCCCGACAGCACTAAGAGAAACAAGTGGTGGAGGAATGAAAAAGAAAGAGAAGGATGTGGACACAATGAATAGAAGCAGAACTGGACTTAAGAGTAGTGAGGAACAGTCTGATGTTAGTAGCCGGTGATGGGATCCCAGCCTGGGTTGCCACCAGGGGCCATACCTGGGTCTTTGGCCCTAAAACAGCAGGAGTCTATTACCACCAAAGCCAGGTGGTCATCGCTGGTCTGGGTTGCCAGGCAGGGGCAAACGGATGTCTGAGGGCTGTGCAGCACTGACCCCACCCCTCACCCGGGCATCGTGGGAGACCTGGCCCTAGGTCAAGAAAGCAGGAAAGCTGGATCTGCACCTCACCTGCTGCAGCACTTGGCAGAGCAGGCCCTGCATCTCATCTGGGCAACACAGCAGAGCTGACTCTGGTAGTGGGGACACAGGTAAGCCAACCCTGAGGGCATGTGGAAGAGCTGGCCCTGCCATTTGTCTGCTACTCAGTGAAATGGCTGACAGGGAAATGCTCCCCCCTCCTTATGGCAGGCAGGAGAGCTGGCTCTGAGGTCATCAGAGCAGGACAGCTGGTTCTACCTCTCACCTGCTGCAGCACACAGGAAAGCAGTCTCAGCTGATCTAAGGAATCTGATAGACTCTCTGGCCTCTACAAGCATCAAAACACACATGCCACATAGACATGCATGCAGATAAAGCACTCATATACATAAGATAAACTTAAAACTCAAATAACAAGAATATATTCTCTTTAGCATCTGGAACATCACATGGCACCTAAATAAAACAATGAAAGGATAAAATATATCTCAAAATTAAGAAACAGTTTCTGAAAATATCAAAATTATGGGTGAATATTAAGATGTAAAGACTGAACAAGTATTTCCTTCTGAGACAAACAAAAATTGTATGTAAAATAATGGCCCTCATGTAGCTATAATAGGACAAGAAAAAAGATTTATTCAAATAAGCAAAGGCACAGCGACCGAAGCCCTTGACATGCAAGCTTAACAACCCAAGCTAGATCCCAGAACCCATGTAAAAGTAGAAGAGAAACAATTCCATGAAGTTGTTATCTGACCTACATACATTCTATGCCCATACACATCACACACAAACACACTCCATAATGTTTTCAATAAAATTTAATCTCCAACACAACAGTATTTAAGACAGGTGAACTTTGAAGGGTGACAACATTATTAAGTCAAGAGTTTTAATAAATGGGATTAGCGCCCATAAGAGAGCATGCTCCACAACTTCCATTCCTTTTACCATATAACCAGACGGCATTCTTCCCCTCAAGAGAATACACCAACAATATGCCATCACAGAAGTAGTTATCACCGTCATGAGGCACCAAAGGCTGATTTCAGACTTCCCAGCTTCCAGAATAATAAGAAAAAGAATTTCCTAGTTTATAAACTATACAGTTTCAGGTGGTTTGGTACAGTGACACTAAGTACCTAAATAGTTTCTTCAAAACATCAGTACAAGATGGGATTATTCAATAAAATCAACTGTATAGGGAAAATAATTTAATTGGTCCCTATTCAAAACTCTATTTGACACAAATTTCAAAAGAAGTCTACCCAGGTATGGTCCTCAATGGCTATAATCTCAGCATGTAGGAGGCAGAGACAGGGGGATGGATCATAAGCTCAAGGCTGGGGCTACCTGGAGCCCTGTTTCCACAATAATAGTATTTAGCCATTGTTTTTAATTTTCTTTCTTACATAGCTAGGAGGAAATGATGACTATTTCCAATAGCAGCATAGAAAAGAGCTAAAGCAAAGGGAAGCAAAATTTTTTTAAAAAGACTAATAAATTTAACTCTATAAAAATGCAAAACTTGTGCACATCAAACCGTAAGGAAAAAATTACAAGACAAAAAAAGTACTGAAACATTTAAATGTGACAAATCAGTGGTATCCTAAGTATGTAATAAGCTATAAATAATAAAAAGAATAATAGTGTAATCAAAATGTTATAAAGGATATAAGAGAAGAATAACGACAAACACTGATTTCTAACAAGCACTCTATACTTCCCTCAATCACGTAGAGATTAGGCTGGAGGGAAGGTCTCTGGTTTAACTGTAAGCCAGTTAACCAAGTAGTCTTTAGTGTTTTGTTCAAAGAGCCACAGAATCTTGTACCAATTAACAGTGTTTTGCTGACAAGAGTTAAGCAAAGAGTAAGGAAAATAACCTCTCATCAGAAAATTGGAAGAAATGCAGCAGCACTACCTCTGGATAGCATGACATATAGATTCAAGGCCTACAGAAAAGGAACTATCACAAAACAAAAAACAAAAAGAATTCTAAAAAAATAGATAATACATAGACAGATAGAGTAATCCACCCTTAGCCTCCAGTCCTAGCATAAGCCTTTACCTATACAGGAAAAATTAGACTTGATTATAGAATAAATATGCAATTCAGTTGGCTGTCAAGTATAAAAAAAAACAAAACTTGCTCATATTGCCACCCCAGAAAAACACTGTTGACTTGGAATTTAGACATAACACCTATAATAATTACCATTTACAAAGTGTTTATGTATTTAGAATACTCTGTAAGGTAGCTATTATCCTCATTTTATGAAAAGGAAAACAGGAAGAGGATGGCTAAGTAGTGTATCCAATGTGACATGAAAATAGATAGCTGAGACAAGACTCAAAGCCAATCCACCAGATTCCGAAGATCCTGCTTTTTCACCATGGAATCATGATTTTCAAAAAGTACAGGATAATAACAGCTAACATTTGTGGTTTATTTTGTACTAAAAACTTTACATTCTATTTCATAAAACTCTGATTTTAACACAAAATTAACATTAATACATTTCTTTAATAAACAAACAAGAAAATGCTAAATGGCTAATCAAAAATCACATGGTTAATAAGGCAAGCATTCTGACCAAACAAAACAACCTGCAATAACTTTATTTTCATAAGAGATGTAGCAGACTAAAACAATAAGGAGAAGCTATGCTTATTTTAAGCACCAAACATCACACACACATAATTTACTAATAGTAGAGACCATACTATATACCCCCTTCTTTCTCATAAAATTCCTCAAACAGTAACTAGATGAACTGTAGAATTTTACATGGCCAATGTTTACACAAAAAAACAAAGTTCCTAAAGGGAATAAGAGATAGTTTGTTATAGAGCCATTTTGAGAGACTGTGCCTAGGAACACATATTTAGTTTACCCAAATCCAGTGTTCAAATGTGGAAAGAGTTTCATGAAGTTTTACAGGTTTATAGAACAAAGAAAGTCATGAATCAAGTTTATTCAAAATACAGTGGTGTGTGCATCAGTGAGACAGTCACAATAGGGAAAGCTTTTCTATAGGCCTCAGATGCTATCTGCTAATGTTCTTAGCCTTTAGTTTGGTAGAAGCTAGCAGTCTGCTAAGTTAATAGATTTACTCATAGGGTTTTACTTCCAGCAACCTTAAAATACATTGGTGTGCACAATGACAAGGTGGTCACAGCAAGATGGGGGGAGCTTTTCTATAGGCTTCAGATGCTCTCCAATGACATTCTTAGCTTCTGGGTTGGTAGAAGTTAGTAGAGTGATAACTTAGTAGATTTCAAAAGGCTTTTATCTATTAGTCACAGAATGTTAGGTCCCAACACAGAGGTGGTCAAGAAATGGGGCTAAAGCAGGAATGGGACAATTAGCCCTGGACCTACAACATCCCAATCACTCCACATTACTACAGTTCTAAGCAGTCCATCAGTCTCTATATTCTTTCCAAGAATTTTCATCAACACCAGCAATGTTGCTCAATTAAAGCATATCTTTGTCTGCCATCTCAATAACTTTTTAAGTTAGTTAGTTAAAGATAAAAAAATATCCTAAATTCAGAAAACAAGTAGCCTTCAATATCTTAAAAATAGCAATTTATTATGTTCCACACTCTTAACAATCGTGAAATCTTCCTTGATCTTCAAGTGCAAATATATCAATCTTCTTGATTAACTCTGCTATCCCATTAGTAAACATAATCAGCCACTCTAGTTGCCATTATTCAACAGCTGCCATTTTACTATTTGTCAAGTGCTTATCCAGAAGCTTCCTGCTTCAACACTGGCTTAACCGTTAAAGTAGGAGTGAGAGATAACACTCAGTAATAGAGCACTGGCCTACCACAAGGCCCTACATTCACTGCCTACTACATCACAGGCAGGCAGGCAGAAAGGAAGAAAGGACTAAATGGACTGATCCACCAAAGAACAACAGAAATCTAGATCTATTCCAATGAGGCTTTTTTTTTTTCATGTTCTATTTTCAAATCCACAGCATTTACGATGAGATGTTAACAGCCTGAAGGTGAGGGTACCTATGTTGAGGTTGACAGCTGGAATGAGACTGGAAATGAAAAACTAATCACTCTGAAACTAGTCATATCTTTGAAACCTCTGAGCAACCCTTAAATGACTATTTAAAAAGAAAAAGTACAAAAAGATGGGACAGTGGATAAGGTAAAAATTTCTGTAAATGACTAATCACATCTGTCCAACCTTGAGGTAATGGACTCAATAACTATGACGTATCCTAATTATTGAATGTGATGTCAAAAGTGAAAGAAAAATAATATTTTCCCAAAAGACACCCAAGAATCTTTAATATGTATATC